AGGGCACACTGTTCTGTCATCCCTAGCTTTCCTAGGAATATTTCCCTGCTCTTTTACAAGGGTTTCCTAAATCGTGTGCCTCTGGAAATCCTGAACATGAATCTATATCCCAGATCGCTTCTAGCACAGTCCAGGTCAAACTCTATGCCAGGGAGTCTGATCACAGCTTAGCCTGAGGGAAACAGTTCCCAGTCTAGCCCCATGCTGCTGGCACCTTCCTTTCATTTGTTTTTTAAACTTGGACTCATTCCTGCACCTCACCCTTCTCTTTCTTAGTTTCTTACTCTGATAAAAGGAGTGGTTCCTGTGAAGAAAGCTAAGCAGGAATTCACTTGCAAAACTTGCTGTTTTGTGAGTGAAGCATACTAAGAAAGATACGATCCGTAACTAAACTAAAATTGTGGTGTTTTCTAAAAAGTACTTACTAGCTCAGCCAGAAGCTAAGGCACTGAAAACAGTAGCTGAAATTCTCTGGCAGGTGTTTCCCAGATGAGGCCAGATGGCAATACCTTATTACGGCTTTACATTTTTCTAAATAATCTTACTGGCAGGTGTCTTCGTCATTCTCCTGAGTTGATGGCTATCTTGTACAATAATCCTTCTAGTTAGGGGCACTGCTTTTAATTATTCCATTTTGTGTAGATGCCGGGTTTTTAATTGCTGCTTACAGCTAGGTTTATCAAATTGTTTTTGTATTTTCCTGCACCTTTTAGTGCAATTCATTTCATGGGTAGGTGGCACTGGACCCTGTTCTGTAAGAGAAGGTTGATAAGATTGCTTATTCAGAGTTCCCTTTCAATATGCTGTTTTGCATCCCCTTTACTCTCTTTTCATCAAAGCAGTAATCTGCACGCTGTAATCTGTTAACTACTGGAGATCTGTATATAGTTAGATGACCTGCAGAATAATTTTATTTCTTTCTAATTGGCACCATCGAGCAAACAAAACAGAAGAAAAACAATAAATGTTCAAAGCTGAGGCTAACTTCTGCTTCGCTGCTAATAACAAATAATTGGACAACGCAATTTAAGATAGTTCACGGCATGTTCCCTGAAGACTTAGGTTAATTTAAAGGTATGCATACCATTTTCAAAACATGTTTTTGTCTCCTTAAACAGACTTGCATATGATAATATCCTCTCAGTTAACATGGCAGATTTATAACAACTTCAGTCTGCTCCTCATATACTAAAAGTTTTGGGATGATTTTGGCTTCTGCATGGGTGCTATGAATGCTGGTGAGCTGGCCCGAGCTGACAGCCAGTGCCTTCTAGTGGCTGAATTGATGTAGAACCTCATAACCTATGAGAGTAGCTCTCTGTATTCCTGTTTGTCTCATTACATCCTTTTTTTTCTGCTGGTGATGATCCAACAACTGTCTTTATTTCCCTCGCATACCTAGGCCGCTGGTATATCCGGGAAGGCTGGCTTTTGGTGGTGCCTTCAAAGGGAGAAGAACTGAAGCGCAGGATGTTCTTCCTTTTTTCTGATATCTTTATCGCAACAAAGCCCTGCCACCCGCTGCACCCACTGAACTCGAACAAACTGGCATGCCAGGCTGTTTACCCACTTCAGCAGTGCGTCGTGGACAAAGTGTTCGGCCACACGCAGAGCCAGGGAGGGCTCCTCAGCGTAAGTCGTCCTGCTTCTGCCAGGCAGAAGCATCAGTGGGGTCAGACTTGCGAAGCAGGTCTCTACCTACCTCAGCAGCAGCAGGACTGAGGTGATGAGAGTGGTGACAATGGTAAATGCCATGAACTAGTCAGAGTGAGGGCAACCCTAACTTCTCGGGTGGTGTACGTCCTTTTTCCCTTCATGGTGTTGGGCACTCCTGAGCACTCTGAGGTATAGGCTGCTGGTTGCTTCACTTAGCTCAGGTGAGGAGGGTCTGATAAGACTCTGACATGCCCTCATCAGACCCATATGGTTGAGGTGGGACAGCCCACACAGTCACATGACAATGAATATCTAGCATTACATTGACTGCGGACTGAGCTTACAGAAAACCCTGAAAAACAGGGTGTGCAGAAAAACATGGGTATTACCACAATGGATATTGCTTGTGCATCTAACTCTGAGGGCTGCAGGGTCTTTGACTGGGACTGATGCCTCAGGTAGGTGTTTCAAGTTCAGGTCTTTCTAGGTTGCAGCACCTGGGGGCTGTGTGAGCTCATTCCTTGAGAGCTAGAAGGGAGACTTTGGGCAAACTGTGATTGGTATTTGGTGGTAGTGGAAGGACCTCTAGGGGCAGCGTGGAATACGGGAGAAAACTGCATGAAAAGCTTCCGAGGACTGTAACTGCCCACTTCCAAGTACCCTATTAAGTGAAAGCGAGCTGCCATCTGTAGCTGGAAGGAATGGACAAGTCTGGCACTTGCTCTGTACTGTCCCGCCTCTGGCTTCTCCCAGTACCAATGCTAAATTTTTCTATCTGGGTGAAAATCTGATGGAAATCAGCATACAGGGCTGAGTTGAGTTCAATGGTGATAGCTCTCCTTTTATCAGAGTTGCTGCTTTGGCAAGGAATGCCAGAGTGGCACCAGATCCTGTTTGCCTTTCAGCTTTCCTTTCCACACAAGACACTGTTGTTGATGTCCAGCGACCAACAAGATATTAATGACTGGTATCGGAGTCTCACTGATGCAGTCAGGTAGGCACCTATTTTCCAGAGGCGGATGGGGCCGAGGGAAGGCGGCAGCACATAAAAATGAACATATAGATCTATTTGCATGTATTACGTGGTTTTAACACTGATACAGAAGAGCTGACACCAGCAGCCAGGATACAAGGGAAGAGTAAGAACAGATTTCATGTACTAACAGTGAACTTCCTCTTTGTTCTCTACAGGCAGCTGAAAGCCTGACCCTCCAGAGCACCAGACAGACTGGCAAGAAAATGGCCCCTCTTGCCAGAAGCCTACACAACCTTAGGAAGCGTTCAAGCCCGTATAGTAAGACAGTTGCATTTGGAGGGACTACACCACGTGCTTCGGAGATTATGAATGCTTTGTCAGCTGTCCTAATATGAATACAGATGTTGCAAAAAATAGGTATGCACCCTAAGGATTTGTGTATAAAGAGCCTGTGTCAAGACTTGAACCCAATCTGGCTGAGAAGCTCGATTCTAGCTTTTTTACACTTTTTACCCCCCCAGCTTATTAAGTTGAGGACAAGCAGAAGACAGCCCGACTTGCTTTACCTCATTCAATGTTTTTACGCAACTGTCTTCCCACATCAGTGTTTTCATATTTATTTGTCTACATACATGTCTACCGGCTCTTGCTTCTGGCTCCTTTGATCAAAGCAGTGTTTTGGAGGATGGGAACATGGGCATAACACTATTTTCAGCTAGTGTGACACGGCAACAGTCATGTTCCTCCCTTGACATACTTTTATTATTCATATCCTTCAGTTTTCTACCAAAATCGTCCCTCCTCCTCTAAGAAAGTGACAGGTGGGCAGATCAAGGGATCTTGATCTGTGCTTTAAAATCTTTTTATTAAATCTTTAATAACTGCTTGATCTCAGTGCTTTAAAATCCTACCTCTCAGCTTCTCATCAATCCCACAGAAAAGTTAAATCTGCTGAACTATCTGAAATAAACTTGTAAGCAACGCAGATTCTGGGTCATCCATCACTGGCAATGAGCTAGGGTTCAGTTTACTAGGATGAAAGACCAATTTAAGGAAGAAATATACATAGGCTAGTAATTCTTGAGAATTTAACATAAAAGGATTAACATGGCCTTGTAATAATGTGGATGCTCTGCAGCAATAGCAGTTTGGTTCATCTCTTCTGTTGACAGGCATAACATCTGTTGGAACAAGATGTTAGGTCATCAACTGCAAGAACAATTTCAAGGTCGTAAGAAATACAAAGGCTGAAGTCTCTCTGGAATATTGACTTTTTTAGAAGTTTGACTTCTTTTTTTCCTTAAACAGTACCACATATCTTCAGTTTCTCACTGGAATTCATTAAAACAGAACAGAATTGGTACTGTGTAAGATACGTGTCCTGAAGAGATAATTACCAAATTTTAATTTCTTTAACATCACCTGATTTTTTTTTTTGTCTTCCTCACTATGTAAAATTACTCACTTGTCTTAGTTTGTGAAACTTGGGAGAGAGGAAGGAATCTAACATACCTGGGTGTTTTTTTTTTTTTTTCCTTCACTGAGAAGCTATAGATAGGACCTTCCAGTAGTAGCTGTACTTGAAATCAAGGACAGATAAAGCTAGCAATTTAAGATTCTTATCTCCCAGTAGTTACACCACTCTGAAAAAGTTCTTCTACGATGCCTTTTTGTTCTAATAGAGTAATACAAAGATTTCTTGCAACCCTACGCCTGGGGCTGATACGTATGCAAAGCTCTTGGTAAAGATGACTACTATTCCTGCCCGCATTGCCTCTTTGTTACCTCACAAGTGCCTTGGTGCTGTCTCTTTTAAGACTTACCTTAGTGCTACCATCCTGTTTGCACTCAGAGCTTCTGAAACAGCAAAACTAAGTTCATTTTTCACTGAATTTCTGGCCCTGAAAGGCTGCGCACTGGCTTCTAGAAAACACTGCCGCTCTGTCACAATGAAGTGGAGACACAGCCCCAGAGAGCAGGGCTGTTGGAGCAGGAGCTGTAACAAATCCAGTCTTTGCTAGATTAAGCTACTAATTCACGTGCACAGGAATATAATCCAAACAGAAGAAAATTCACTTTGTGAACAGAGTTTATTTACACAGAGAGTATCAACCATTAGGGCTCCCAGCTTTATTTCTTTCTCTTGCTGAGTTTCTATTCAAACCACAGAAAGAAACAAGTAAATCTTGAGTTTCTCCCTCCATCACAGCAATTCACGGTTAGTAATAAACCTTCGCACCTCCTGGGACACTGGGACATCTTCCATTCCAGTGCTCCAGGACAGCAACAAGCTGGCTGGTGCCCGGGCAGCTCTCGCCAAGCCCGTCCCTGTGCACGCACAGGGCCTCCCTCGGGCGGACGGGGATGCCTAGACAGAGGTGCCCTCGGGGGCCACTGCCCGCCGCATGTCCTCCCGGTAGCCCTTCAGGAGCTGGTTGAGCAGTGTTTTGTCCGTGTCGCGGCGCGGGGTGATGAGCGGCGGGAAGGGGTTCCCCTTGAGCTCGATGACTGCCATCTTGGCACGGTCGAGGCCATCCCGGTTGGGGATCTGCACCAGGCGGGTGTAGCTGCCGGGGTGGGGCTGGAACCGGGGCGCCAGCACCTTGAACAGCTTGTGGATGAGGTCCTTCTCCTGCGGGGCGGCACGCGCAGCTCCAGCACCGCGGCTGTGGGGGGTAAGGAGGGATCG